AAAAAATATCACAACATTTTTTTCCCTATAAAAACCCCAACTTCTCACTAGAGGTTACCACTTTACTACCTTGAGAGAGAAAAAAAACAATGGCTTCCAACAAAACCACCTCAATTATTGCGATATTCCTAGTACTAAACCTTCTATTCTTCACCTTTTCAAGTGCATGTGGGAGTTGCCCTGATACACCAAAACCAAAGCCAAAACCTAAACCGAAGCCGAAGCCGAAGCCGTCATGCCCTCCACCGCCGGCGGGCCCCGGCGACAAAACCACTTGCCCTAGAGATGCCCTAAAACTAGGTGTGTGCGCCGATTTGCTCGGCGGTTTGATCGGTCTCACTATCGGAAGCCCTCCGAAAACCCCATGCTGCAGCCTCATCGAGGGTTTGGCCGATCTCGAGGCGGCGGTTTGTCTTTGCACCGCCATTAAAGCAAATGTTTTGGGCATTAACCTAAATGTTCCAATTTCTCTTAGCTTGCTTCTTAATGTTTGCTCGAAGAATATTCCACCTGGCTTCCAATGTGCCTAAAATCAAACAAATTAAGTGTACTAGGTTTTGCTTGGTATACATTTCAGATTTTTGAGTTTTATTAAAGTGTGTTCTTTTTATTTTATTGTGGCTGACTATTATTATTATTATTATTAGTTGTTGCTCATGTTTATCAAATAAATAAAGTGGGGGTATAATAGTGAAGAAAGAGAATTCACACTAATGAGTGTGGCTTGTGAGGGTAAGATTGTAATTTGTAATATTTGAGTTCTTTCCTTTGAAGAAGTTGTTTGGTTCTATTCTTGTCATCTTTTGTCTTATTTTATTATAATCTACCTTGAATTTGCAATTTCATGAGCATCAATTGTCGTGGAGCTGGTTTTCCCTTCCCCATCGCATCTTCTCAGTGGCGAATTCATGATTTTTTATGAAGGTGTTCGAAATTGAATATAATAAAAAATATAAATAATATTTGATAAAAATGGTGGATCAAAAGTTTACGGGGTTCGGGGCAGCACCCCTAATTTCTTTTAGTAGTATACATATAAAACAATACAAATATGTAAATAAAATTAAAACTAAAAATATTATTTACAAATTTTAGAAGAATTTTGGAATGATTTGGGAAAAAAAAAATGGTGAAAGTATTGAACGAGTGGTAAATAAATTGGAGTTGCAAAGTACCAAAATATGTATTTCATTAGAAGTTTGCATTTTTCAATACAATTCTTGCATGTTTTGAACTACGCTAGCTCAATGCAAAGAAAATCCCAATGTGTATTTCCAATTCTTGCATGTTTTGCAAAGTACCAAAATGATGTATTATTATTATTATTATTATTATTATTATTATTATTATTATTATTATTATTATTATTATTATTATTATTATTATTATTATTATTATTATTATTATTATTATTATTATTATTATTATTATTATTATTATTATTATTATTATTATTATTATTATTATTATTATTATTATTATTATAAGATAAATGTATTTATATTTTGAACAGTAATTATTAATTAACAATACTATATTTACTATAAATATGTTTATATATTGGTAATCATATGAAATTAGTTAATATAATAATTTTATATGCTAATTATAAAATGGTGTTAATTACACCAATCCTATTTTAATTTCTATATTTGATAGAGAAAATAGGATTTTGGTGGAAAAAATAGTAAAATGGTGGAAGATACAAATTTCTTCACCAATGTTTTTGGTGAAAATATAGGATTTGGTAATACAGTGGTATGGGATTTGACCACAATAAGAGATTAAAACTAAATATTATAATTTTAGGTGTAGTGATAATGCAGTATTTTAAAATGGAAGGTTAAAAAATATTTAATTTAGGTGTGGAAAATAGGATTTGATGGAGGGTGGAAGATACCTTTATAAGCAGAGAGAGAAAGAAGACCAAAAAATAAAAGAAAAAAGAAAAGTAAAGAAAACGTTAAAATGGACTTTTGTTGCTGCCAAAGAAAGAAAACAAAAAAAGAAAAAAAAGAAAAAGAAGATTATTCAACATAGACAAAAAAAAAGGCGCGTGAGATAAGCTTCGGGGAATGCTAAGGTCATATGCCCCTCCCCTACTCTCACCTTGTTGACCGAAAGACATATATCTATATTGGTGTGTGTAGAACAACGGTGAAAAATCAACCAGTATTAGTCTTCATCGAATGTATCATAGAAATAAGTAATAACCACTCTCTACCTATGGCGGGAGTGGATTCCTTACGGAGATGTTTTTTTTTTCTGTTTTCTGATAAACTATATTCTTCAGCTACTTCTTTTAGAACAATAATCTCACATTTCCGAAAAGAGTGAACGTGTTTGTGATCAAAATGAATGTGAACGAACAACGAGGGGATCGAACTCCCTAGCTAGCTAGCCTTGTCGAAATTCACCGCCAATTATCACAAGTTTGCTCTCAATTTTCAAATTAAAAAGTTCACCTGTCAAATTTTCAGAAATTCACTCGAATTTCGGAAGTTTGTTGTCAATTGTCTCATCTTTTTCACAAATCAATACCATATTTTGTTAGAATACTCTTTCTTAAAAGTTCCCTGCAAATATCCAGACGTTCACTGTCGCATCTTGTTAAACTAGGTTACTTTTCAAAGGTTTTGTTCTAATTTTCAAAATTTCGCTGCTATATTTTGTTAAAATAATCAATTTTTGAAAGTTCACTATTAATTTTCATTTGTTTAATATCATATTTTATAACAAAAACATTTGTTTATAACACATTCCTTTCCTACTTCAATAATCAAAATAACTAATAGAATGTAGTAAATTGTCATGTATCGCGTGTGTATATATATATATATATATATATATATATATATATATATATATATATATATATATATATATATATATATATATATATATACATGTATTATAGGTGTCACACCAAAAAAAAAATATGTATATATCTCACATATTTAGATTTGATTTAGCCACATGCATGTCTATGTCCATATGAATTCACATGAATCCAAAGACCAAGACTTTGTTCCAAACTATACTATTGATGATATCACTACCATTTCTTTATTAATACTTGCTAAATATCATATCCTCATTTAATTTCCCTCTATAAAAGCCCCATCCCTTAATCACTAAAAGTAGTTCCAAAAAACCACTCTTAATCTTTATTTAATCAGTGCCTAATTGTGTTTAATATCATGGCTGCCAAGAAAAATTCCCCAATTGGCCATTTTTTTCTAGTGCTAAACCTTCTCTTCTTCTTCACACTTGCAATTAGTTCATGTGGAACTTGCGCCGACCAATATAAACCCAAACCGCCACCGATGTCGATGCCTACTCCGTTTTACCCTACCCAAGACTATTGCCCAAAGGATACCCTAAAACTAGGGGTATGTGCTAATTTGCTAGCCGGATTACTCGGCCGAACAAACGGGATCCCGCCAAAAGCACCGTGCTGCAGCCTTATTGCAGACTTGGACGATTACGGGGCGGCCGTTTGCCTTTGCAACGCCGTTAAAGCAAATGTTTTAGGCAAAAACCTTAACGTGCCTCTTTCGATTAGCTTGCTTCTCAATGTTTGCACCAAGAAAGTTCCGAAGGGCTACACATGCTATGTTTAGTTTATGTTATGCATCTCTTTTGCATGGTAACGACGACACCGTGTGTCGATTTCGTAATTAAGTTATATGGAGTGTTTTGTTATAATTATTTGTATTAGTGTTGGGGAAAAACAAGGGTTTATATAATTCTGTTTGCAGATTGTAATAATTAATGTTATATTAATTAATGCAATCTTTTTTCACAATATGTATTGGTTTATTTAGTCATGATTTTATTGCATGGATTGAAGTAATTATTCGTAAATATCAAAATCTCCATTTTGATCAGATTAAATCAGCAAATATATATAATATAATTCAATTATGAAAAAGCACTATGAAAAAATATTCTACTTATTGTCACGAAGCATGATTATTGTCCAAAAATTTTAGGTATTATAAGAACTAGCATTTCCCTCTTGCAAATGCACGGGATAGCATTTCAAAATTGAAAAAAAAATATTATTTAAATTCACGACAATAACAATTTTAATAAGAAATATATGTTGTTAGTGATAATTAAATTATAGTAACAACATCAACATTCATATAAATTTGATATTATAAAAAAATTAAAACAATACTTTTATAATAGGGAGAAAAAAAAAATACTTAGACGGGAAAAATTATAAAAATGTCACTGGGGTCGATGAGTGTACGCTGAAAAAGATAGAAAACGGAGCTGTTCTCTTGAGAGAACAAACAAAGTTGAATTTTAGCAGAGACAAATAAGAATAAAAAATAATAATAAAATTACAAAAATACCCTTAGGATTAACGAGTTTTTCTTTCTTTTATATATGAAGATTTTTTTATCAAGTAAGAACAAAGTCAAAGAAAAATAAAATGATAATCTGACTTATAAAAAGTTCTTATGCCTGAGAAGTCTACTCATGGCCCATGAGAATGTGGAAAATCTTACAAGAAAATATTTTCTTACTCTTATAAGATTTGTGGAATTTTAATTTAATGTACCAGAAGCTTCCATTATGTCTTCTCTATACATTAGGGTAAATGTGGAAATTAGTTTTTTTGTTTATTTGTTTTTTTTTTTTTTTTTTTTTTGAGGGAGACACATATTTAATGTACTACAGCGATAATTATTTCCTTAATTAAAAATCAATACACTGTATCTTAAGTAAAATGTATATCTCCTTTACTTCATCTTTAATTTTATAGTTGTAAATGATAATAATATATATATATTTTTAAACTGCCTACAACTCAAGTCACGTATAAAGGAAATTGAATCTGCTATCCGACGTTTTTCGTGCGCAAGTGGCAATGGAAAACCGATGGTCTGATTTGCGTTGCATCAAATGTGCAAATCGAAAGAGGTGGGTGGTGTAGGTTTTCGAGATCTCAGAAGTTTCAACCTAACACTTCCCACGAAACCATCGTTATGCGTGATTATAAAAATCGAGTGGATTTTATCACAAATTCTAAAAGCCAAAACTTTTTCCTACGATGATTTGGCTAAATCCTACGAATTGTTTATAAGAAGATGAATAGTCATTAAAAAAAAAAATCCTTTCCTACTTCAATAATCAAATAATTAATATGGAATGAAATGTAGTAAATTGTCATGTATCGTATATATTTAAATAATTATTATAGTTGTCACACCAAAGAGATAATTGAATTCACAGATTTAGATTTAAGCATGCAACATGGCAATTTGCAATTCTAATTCACATAAATCCAAAATGACCAAAACTATGTCCCAACCAATATTATTGATATGCCAGCTAATTAAAATCCCTAGTGGATGATGACATCACCACCATTTCTTTATTAATACTTAATTACTCATTTCCCCCCTATAAAAACCCCATCCCTTAATCACTAAAAAAAATCATCCCATCTCAAATTTAAACACCCTCTTAATCTTCTTTATTAGTGCCTAATTAATTAATTTGGGAAAATGGCTTCCAAGAAAAATAACACACCAACAAATACAATTGCCATATTTCTAGTGCTAAACCTTCTCTTCTTCACTCTAGCAAGTTCATGTGGAACTTGCTCCGACCCTATTAAACCCAAGCCACAACCCAAGCCTCAACCCAAGCCTAACCCAACTCCTTACTACCCTAGCAAGGGCTACTATTGCCCAAAGGATACCCTAAAACTAGGGGTGTGCACCAATTTGCTAGGGGGATTAATCGGCCTCACGATCGGGACCCCGCCGAAAACTCCGTGCTGCAGCCTCATCGCGGGATTGGCCGATCTCGAGGCCGCAGTTTGCCTTTGCACCGCCATTAAAGCGAACGTTCTCGGAATAAACCTAAATGTGCCTCTTTCGCTTAGCTTGCTTCTCAATGTTTGCTCCAAGAAAGTTCCAAAGGATTTCATTTGTGCCTACTAATTAGGCACATCTATATATATATATATATATATATATATATATATATATATGTTATGCATCTCTTGTGCATGATAAAATGTGTGACATTTGTGTAATAAGTTAAATGAGGGGAAATCATGATCCCTATGTGTGAGGTTGGAGTGCTGTTATTTTAATTATATAGTGTGTGGGAAGAAAAAAAAGGTTTAATTTATAATTCTGTTTGCAGGTTGTAATAATATTATATTAATGCTGCAAGATTTTACTCATGCTTTTTTTTTTCAGTGTATTGATTTATTGCATGGACTGTGGGAAATAGTGCATCAAATTAACTTGAAGTAAAAGTAATTGTCCGAAAATATGATACTCATTCACTATTTGGATCAGATTAAATTAGCAGATAATGCAATTATGAAGGGAAAAGGATTACATCATATATCATTTCTCAATTTTATGACAGAAACTATTCAAATTTCTTTCCTGCTAATTAAGACCTGATTAGTAGGTAACTTGGTTCTTGGAGGTTAGTGGATATAAAAAAAAAGATTAAGAAAAGTATAAAAGTTTACTTTTAATTTTTTAATTTTTTTTAATAATGAAGGAACTCGCAATCAATCTTATAGATGCACTGAGTAAACCTACAGTCTTATATCATAACATGCAAATCATACGAGATACGTAAACCACCCACAGGTGACGACGTAGCGACCGTTGTCTAGGAAATTCAAACTTAAATTTATTGGCAAAAACTCATCTACTCCAACCGCTAAGTCATTATTTACGGGACAAAGCGATAATATGAGTTTATATTAAAAATGATTCATATATTGGTCCTAGGCCTGAAAGTAATATTCATGGGCCATGAGAATATGTAAGATCTTATATATATATATATATATATATATATAATATTCTACAGTACAACCCGTGAACCAGGATTTGTGGATTTTTAATTAAATAATCCAGACCAGAAGCTTCCATAATTATTTTTTCTATATACATTATGTTAATTGGAAATTGGTTAAGAGGAATTCCTGAACACAATATTTAATTTACTATAGTGATAATTTTTCCTTAATTAAAATTCCATGTTTTGTTTCTTAAGTAAAACAGTATCTCCTGTACTTCAATTCAGTTTTTATATTTTTAGGTAATAAAAAATAGGGGTCTTAAGATATAGGTCTCTAGTGACAAAACTAATTAGAACTAAATGACAAGCTCAACTAAACATTTGCTTCACATCTTTTATTAAATTCATTCCAAAAATGCCATTTCACTCATTTTTATTTTTTCAATTTACACTCTGCATTTTTTATATAATTATAAACATTTTTTTTTCTTATTTATAACATTTTTCTGAAAATTACGATTTTTTTTCTTGTTTTTGTTAAATAATTCAGCAGATTTCAAAAATACTATGGCATACTATAGTGTACTATGTTATACTATGGTGTACTATCGTTTTTACACTATTATTATAAAAAAAAATCTACAATATTATTAAAAATTACAAAACAAAACTTGTTTTTTCGTTTTTGTTAATATTTCGTTTTTTGTTTTAATATTTTATTCAGCAGATTTCGTTTTCATATGGAGCAGATTTCATTTTTCGTTTTAATATTTTATTTGTTGTAACACTATAGTAGACTATGGTATACTACGGTACACTATGGTCTACTACGGTATACTACCAAACTCTAGCCGCCAACAACACACAACCCTCGCCAACCCTAGCCGTCAATGTCAAACCCTGCAGCCGTCGCAACCGTAACCTACCAACTTTGGAAAAATCTAGATTTACGATTTTGAACCCAAATCAAGCAAAATCTCTTGAAGATCAAGATCAAATCTCCACCATAACCACATCCCCGCCGCCATCTCGATCACCACAACCGGCCGCCATCTCGACCACCACAGCCCGCCGCCGCCCACAACACCTCGCCGCCATCTCAACCACCACAGCCCGCCACCGCCGCCTCCTCCACCACAGCCCCCGCCGCCGCCCACAACACCTCGCCCCCATCTCAACCACCACAGCCCGTCGCCACCGCCTCCTCCACCCCAGCCCCCGCCGCCGCCCACAACACCTCGCCGCCATCTCAACCACCACAGTCCGCCGCCGCAGCCTCCTCCACCACCACAGCCCCCGCAGCCGCCTCCTCCTCCACCACAACCCTTGGCTTCGGCTATTACTGAATTAATTAGCAAGAGAGAGGTATGGAGATATAGAGATGAGAGAGATGGAGAAAAAAACGAGAGTGAAAAAAGAGAAGAGAACATGTGATAGAGGGAGGGAGAGAGAGAACGTGAGAGAAACCAAAAGACGAAATAAATCTAAATTGGAGAAACGTGAATATGTAGGTTATATACTTTAGGGTATAAGGGCAAGATAGGGATTAAAAAAAAATTAGGGATGTGGCTCATATATTATTTCAAATTAAGGATTTAATTAAAAAAATGAATTTGAAGTTGTCATTTAGTTCAAATTAGGTTTCGTTTGAGGGGCTCATAGCATATTACCCCTAAAAAATAAATTAAACTGGACTACATCCCAACTCCGAATCCAAATGTAATTAACATAATACTAACCACCCCAGCCAATACCATTAATCAACTATGAAAACACACACAAATATTAAGAACACACTTACACAATCTCACTTTTTTTTTTTTTTTTGCTTTCCATGTGTGTGTATGTATATGAATTTCTACTTTCTATTTGTGTGTGGGTGTTCTTGGGTGTATGTACATGTGTTAGTTTGTGTCCGTGTTCGTGTTCGTGCATGAATATGTATGCTGTAGGGCCAGCCCAAGTCCAAGGCGAGTCCTTCGGCTTTCGAGGTTTCATATTTTTAGGACTTCATATTTAATTTACCTATCACTTCTTTCCATTATGTCTTTCAAATATTTTATCTATTAAAAAGCCTAAAGATTTACCCAACTAAGGAGAAATTTTATGCTACACCTGGTTATTAATCAAATCCATAGTTCAAATCCACCTAATTAATTTAAAGAACCAGGTGTAACATCTAATTTCTCAAAAGATATACTAAACCTATTTTTTTTTATTTTTTTTATAATAAAACATATTAAATAATAATAATAATAAGAAGACGAAAAAAGCTCCTATATCGAAACTGAAGCAAGAAAACATATGTATGATTGTTTGTAGTTAAAACTTTGAGAGTAATTAAGTTTGTGTCCCGTTATCTTTATCTTTTTATGTTTTAGCCCTGATTTTTCTTTTTAGTCTATTTGCAATCAGGATTGAGTTTATATTTTTAGTTTAATGATTACGATCTTTTCTAGTATGTTGTGTATTTTGTTATGCGATAGGTTTAATATTTTGTTATGCTAAATATTATTTGTGAAATAGTAAGTGTTGGAAAATTTGAGTTGATTTACGAAAAAATGAAATAAAAAAAACAAAAAAAAAAAAAAAATAGAAGAATTTATACGATCACAAAAACAGCTTCTTGACAAAAAATAATAACAAAATCTCGTAGAGAAAACATGTGTTGATGATCGATGGAGTTGTAGACTTTTGGTTGAGGAATGAGTTGATCATGAGGAATTACGCGATTGGTACGTACTAAGCGAAGGGTGGAACAATTTTTGTTTTTCAATTTTTTTGCCAAAAGTAATAATATTTGCCTCATAATTGAGGCCGTGATTGTAGACGTGTTGCTAATCATTTCTTCGTACGAAACAAACAGTTGTAACGTTGCGATTTTGAACTAGCTAGACAAAGTTTTGGTTTCAAGGTTTGGAAAATATGTTGAAGTTTGTAATGTAAAGTTAAAAACTTGTATTGCATTTATAACCCCCTATAATATTTAAATTATTAAGGTGGTGTTTGCAAACGTTTTTTCAAAGTGATTATGAGTTTTTTTTTTTTTGGTTCAAAATTATTTTTTTTAAACATTAAAAAGCTCATAATCACTTTGTAAAAACGTTTGCGTAGACCACCTAACTAAAGGACGAGAAGCTATTCAATCGCGCTGGGTATAAACTGCGTCCAAGTACAATTGCTCGGAAAACCACACGATAAATGTAAACAACAATATACCTGCAACCAGTCGAATAACACCGCACTTTCTTATTGATTTGGTCCGTAGGTCTTCGTCTTCCTCAAGCCAGCTTCGTCCGTACTCCGGTGGATAGACCTGCAACGCCGGGAGGGGTTCCCGGCGGGAAAGCTCCGACGATCAAGTCAGTGATCGGAATAAAGGGAAAAACGTGTAATGTAATAGTAATTAGTGTATATATTTCTCGTGTGTGTGTGCGTGTGTTGATTCTCTTATTTATAGATGAGGAAAGCTTGGCCTTCAAGGCTTTCCTTTTTTAGGGTTTCTCTTTTCCCCCAAGTCATGTATCTTGGGCCGGTATTGTCCTGGGCTCGCCTTACCCCGTTTTGGTATTGGGCTAGCGAGTTAAGGTACTCCCACGTAGTTCCGAGGTTCGCGCCATACGACGGCTTCGCTCATAGTACCGAGCTAAGACATCATGGGTTCTTCATTATGGGCCTATCATATTGGGCTTACCCTAATGGGCTTATGCTTATTTGTTACTTGTCAAACTAGCCCATATCACTTATAATTCCAAAAAAAAAAAATAGCCCAATTATTTTTTGATCGGAAAATAAATTTTATTAACCATAGCACAAGATGTGCAGTAAAAAAAAAACACAAATAAACATTACATTTATTTTATTTTTCACAATTCCACATTCATTAGCACATTAGTTATTATTGAAGCCCATGGCACATTCCCCTGAATCTGTACCAAGAGAAGCACAATTTAAAAGCACCAACCAAAATTAAACTACTCATTACAAAAAAAGAAAAGCAAAAAAAAAAAAAAAAAAAAAAACCCCATAAACCCTAGTTGAAAACGACGTCGTTCAGACCAGCGGCGGGCACACAAAACCAGGCGGCGGAGTAAGCCCACAGGTTGCCAGAACTTGTAGGGCCAACGGCAGGAAAATATTCAGGTTAAGCAGTTTCAGTCTTATCGTCGTGCATAGGCAAATCGCCGCCTCCAGCTCAAGCAAACCTTGAAGCACCGGACAACATATGTTTTCGATCGGATCTCCGATTCCGATATGTATCAATCCTCCTAGTACATCAAGACAAAGCCCCAGTTTCAGCGCATTTATCGGACACGTGGCGGCCGGAGGTGGGCTGACGCCTGGTGGTCCCCCACCTCCTCCGCCGCCGCCACCTCCACCACCAGGAGGTGTGTAAGGTGGGTAGGAGGAAGATGGTGGTGGTGGTCTTGTGACGGGAGGGTTTGTTATCGGCGGTAATATCCGGGGAGGGTTAATGATTGGCGGAAGGATCCCGCCGCCGCCGCCTGGAG